GCTTTTTTTTTTTTTTAAACCAAAAGACTGAAAACTATTGAGCTGTACAGAAGCTTCCAGTCTCTCAGACGTTTCCATGCACCCATCCCTTCTCAAGATGTAAATTAACACCACTTTAGCATAGTCTTTATGCTTTAGTATAGAAAACAAAACGTATAAAAAGTATCTTACCAAAATTAAGCGATAAAATGAACATTTTGAAAATTTTGATTCTAAAAGTTAACGGTGGAAGGCAAAACATTTTAAGGTGCTGTTAGATCCATTGCACATTTTTTACATTTACTCTTTTGTACTTGTATACACTCACATAATAATGTGCCACACTATTAGGGTGTCATGCTGTTACTAATTGAGCCTTTAGTTTTGTTGATACTAACCTGCCTTTGGGCATCTATATCTCTGCTGAATACTTTGAATTTCCCTGAGGATTAATAAAGAATACATCTATCCATCCACTGCAGGGCGTTTTACAGAAGTAGCGTGTGCTTTGAATGTAATGAATTTCAGGATATCGTTATGTTGAAAAAACGGGAAAATGGAAAACAGTGTTGCACTTTGTGCACATGATAGCGAGAACAGAAAACGATACACACATTGGAACTCTTTTCCAGGCGCATCTATGAATCAGTCAAATAATTGTGAGCAGTGTCCCCATCCTGTAGCACCAAAACCAGAAACAACCTCTGCCATCTTCCAGGATTAAATCTATATATATATATATATATTCAACTCAGATTTCCACAGGGTTATAGTTTACAGTTTCTCAAAAAACACCAACCAGCCACAACTTTAAAAACTACAGACACAAAAATGACAATCACTGCTTTCTGATAACATTCTGGTGAAAACACAACTTAAAAAACAAAAACATTTAAAAACGTGCATGGACACTGGTTTGAAATAGCCCCGACAGACCACTTTGGTAGCACCTCTCTTGGGCAGGAGAGCAGCTGGGCCCACTAAAAACTGTTCACGAAGGATTCAAAGATCGGAACAAAGAGTGTGTCTGATGTGTTCAGCCTCCAAATCCCCAGATGCCAGTCTTATGGATTCTGTTGATCTGAAGGAACAAAGCCCAATCCACAAAAACCTCAGTTCACAACCCACATGGACCCTAGGATCCATTTCTATACTCAAGCACACTCCCATGTCCTTTGTCCAGAGCCTAACGGTCAGAGCTCTTTTGGTGTTATGATGAGCTATATATCAATCTTACATAGGTGGACATAATCTCATTGCTGATCTTGGATTTAAATAAAGTCGTATAAGTTAAAAAAAGCAGTACTTGGAGGCACGTTTGGAGGCACGATTTTTTTAGGTTTACATTGAATATTTTCTTACCCATAACACCCAAGTCTATCAGAAATAAGGTAAAACATAATACCTTATTCTAACTCTCTCCTCAAACGAAATGCAACCACCCCTTCTCCAGTGCTGTAGCCAGGACCCCTCCTCCAACAGGAGCTAGCAAGCTAATTCTAATAATCAGCCAACGTGACTGGGCATCTACCGAACACCACGCTCCGTTACATATTATCTCTTTGAGGGAGTCCTTCTGCATGAAGCAATGAAAGCACAGACGTGTAAACAGCCTCTCAACTGTCTCACCGTATTCTTAATAACTCACTGGCTAATACAATAATGCTAGCTTCACGTTCCAGTGTGTTTTTCAAGAAAACCAAAGGTCGTACAAAGGTACAACATCCTACTTTTCGGATAGAAAAATCATAGCACGTTTTATTTATTGGAGGAATTGGAGGCTACATAGATATTCAAACTTCAAAATGTTTGTACTTCAAATGTACACGTTTGAATAAGACATTCTACCCACCTGACAGCCATGTCGATAAGATCCCACACCTTCCAATGGCTTCTTCTTCGTGGTATACGACGTCTTCTTCTTCTTCTTTGAATTTGGAGGGCAGCTTCCGTGTTGATATGATGCTGCCATCTTCTGGAGTCAGTTTATAATTTTCAACGAAGAACAACGACGTAACGTGCCAAAAAACAGCCAATTTCAAAATGCACCACAAAAATGGTTGTTTATTTTTTGTTGTAGCCATAACATTTAAATTCTCGTTTGCTCAAGGCAACAAATAAAGCTACGTAAAATTACCCCCCAAAATAGTCATTTTTATGTAAACGGAGCTATTGCCTTTACAATGTTTCAGCCACGGTGGCCGAAGTATAACAAATTAGACAACGGCCTATCATGACTGGGAAACCCCCAGAATAAGATTGCTATCATTCTTTAAGTAGTTAGAAAGAAACATATAAAAACAAGGCATTATGAGTTCGTAAAGGTGAATGCCAAAACGGTCATTCTTTCCTAACAGATAAAGACAGTCTACCCTGTTTATTTTTTTACAGATATTTGGAAATAACTCTGTCTCAAGTTTTTTCCATTTGTACATAAGAATGTTTTATCTTTTTAATCATTTCAAACTTCTTTACTATTTTACAATGATATGGACAGTAATATATACAATGTACGTACATTTTTAAACCACTCTGGTGTACATCCTGTGATCTACTTCTGCTAATGCTGGTTCAGTGACACAGTTGTAGCAGTTATCAATTATCAAATGGGCATATGGCTTCATATTATAATATTTTGCTTTCCAGAAGTGTTCACGATTGACTGTGAAGTGGATGACAGATTATAGGCAGTGCACATTCCAACAAATGCAGGACGTGCAATATTAAATAATGACACACTTGTTTTTCTTCTTCTGAGATGTCAGCAATACTGATGGGACAAATCAGTGTAAATGAATATCATTGACCCACACAGTTTTTAATCGCATCTGTTTAATTCCATAAGAAGCAACAGGTTGAAGCAAAAAAAATAAAACCAAAAAAAAGGATTTGTTTAAAAATCTCTATAGTGTAACATCTTATGTACTTGACATGGTATTATCATCAGTGTTCCTCATTCACAGTATGTCAGTAGAGCTAAATAGTACTTTGTTTATTTATTAGACATACAGTAGAGGGTGAGGCAGTTTTAATGTGTCTCAATACCCCTAACAAAACACATGCAAACATGCACACACACATACACACACATGAAAAGTCCAGACAGGCTGTTTCAGTTGAGGCAGATAGTGCTGTTCTATCTAGCACAGCAGAGGCAGTCAAATATTTTACAAAAGCATGACTGATACGTGGTTGTGTAACTGACTCCACAAAAAACATTTAACATTCTATAGGAATGTTATAGGAAACAGGCTGCAAAGACGTTTGCAGACTGTTAAGTTATAGCAATTAATCCACGATCTGAATAAATAAGACACTCTGTAGCATCTGTACAGTGTAAAAATAACTTGTGGATTAAATAAAAACCACTGTCCCATATCTATGAAAGCTAAGTTACTAAATTAAATAGCATTAAAACAATGACAGCTTTACTAAGTCGTGTTGCTAACAGCTAAGAGTTAGATAACGCTATCATCTAGTCCTTCATAAACATTACAGTATTCACATGTAACAATAGTTCAAACGGAGCACTGTGGCACAATAACATCGGTAATGGCAGTAGTTAGTTTATATTATGAGCTTTAAAGTAAGAGAGAAAACCTAACTACTTAAAGACATACATTTGTGTCAAATAGCTTGAAAGAACACAGATTGGCAGATATCAGCAGTCTGGTGCAAGTATCTGGCTTTGGATTCAGTAAGGCTCACAAATAAAAACACAACCCTGTTTGTGAGTCGTCATCTTCTAAATCTAATTGCTTTGAGGCTGATCAGGAGTCTCCATTCACCTCTGCAGCTTTGTCACGCAGCTCGTAAAGAACTTGAGTCAGGATTGCTTTCAGTGTCGAGTACAATGACTCATTCTTGTCTGAGGCAGGATCGATCTGGAGAGGATAAAAAAAACTTCTTAGAGTCAACATCATGTCACGATTGACCGTCACAAGGCATTAACACTTACCTTAGTAAACACTTTGATTGTTTGGTTTAAAAAACTAGTCACAACTTCTTCAGGCACGGGCAAGAGATGAGCAGCACAGTCGAGGATACACAGCAGAGTCAGCCGGTGACCCTGTTGAGATGAAGGAAGTGTGATAGACTCACATCATGGAGCAGATAGCATTTTATTTTTCTCATACATAGAAAAAGCAACAAAGAAATGATAAGAATCAATTGAAACCACACTGATTGGAAATAACTTTAGTGAGAAACACCTTTTAAACTGACTGCAGAGTTTCAAAAGCTTTCCACTTGATAATTTACAAATTTCTCTGTCATTTTTCTTTTAAACTTGAATAGAAACTGTTTTTGAAATCTTACAATGACTTTGGTTGTTATATTTCTGAATATGTGGATCATATGCGTCTTAAACAGCGTATGCTTGCTCAGCCAATTTTAAAAGTCTGAACATGGAGTTCACATTGATTTCTCCTCTGAGATAGCGGTTTGGATTACCAGCTGCCTGCCTGAACCGCTGAAAGACAGAAGTAAACAAAACTAAAGTGAATGCCTTTAAACTGTAATCGGTTCAATGGCTAAAAAAAAGTGAAGCCACAGGATGACAAAAGAAAGCAACGGAGAAAAACAGGGAAAACGACTCTCCTTCTGACATCATTTTTATTGGTTGATAGCATTTCCTGAATGATTCCATGGGACAAATAATATTGCAGATGACAGCCCCTCCCTGGGCTGCCACCTTATCATGGTGGAGGGGTTTGAGTGTCCCAATGACCCGAGGAGCTATGTTGTCCAGAGCTTCAAGCCCCCAGTAGGGTCAACCAAGGCAAACGGGTCCTAGGTGAGGGAGGAATGCCCCCCCCAGCTTGAGCCCAAGTGGTGTTTTGTTGTTGGATTTCTGGGCTCGGCATGGGTTGTCCATAACTCTATGATCAGGCATAAAGGTGTCCATATGCAGATCAGCAGAAAGAAAAAGAGCTTGTGATGGGTGCTGTGTATCACTGCGACTGGAGGTTTGTCACAGGTACACTTATGAGTCCTGATAGAAAGATGTCTTCTCTGAGTGGAAAATTGAAAGTGTAGCACTTCACAATTCAGGTGGATTGTAAAGCCAAAGCAAAGGAAATTTCTTTTTGTTGGGTGAGTCAGTCACCCAAGCTGTAGCCAACTCGACAAGATTTTCATTTATGAAGGACTTAAGGTGGAACAACTATCTATTATCTAGACTATTATCTATGTCTATGAATTGGGCCAGGGACAAAGATTCCTGCTGTAGTGCGAGAATTGGAACGGTGGTGGATGAATCGCTTTCACCTTCACAACGTACATGTGCCTTGGATTGTTAGATATTCAGCAGTTACCTTTTCCAGAGAGTTGAGCGCGTTTTGCGCGTTTACATTCTTCTCCATGAGGACCTCTATGACCTCGCTGCTGATGACAGGATCCTTGAGCTGCTCCAGCCACGACCACATCAAGCTGGACAGGACCAGAGGGTCTCTCTCCATGCACAGCCTCTCCCATGCCCCCTCTCTGGAGTTCAGCTCCGTCTGCACACAATGAAAAGGGCTGACGTGAACTTACTAAAATGAACAGAACTGTTGTGGTAAATTGAAGATGTAAATGTATGTTGCACGGAGAACACTTATACGTATACAGAGTCAGTTCAAGCTGGTAAAAAAAAAAAGTTTGTCATAAGAACACATTATTGCATTATGTTTACAATGGAGCTAAACATTGTTATATCATGATCCATGACATGACAAAGTACATACGAGACAAACACTTAACAAGGTACCTGCCACACTGACACCTTGGAGGCGAGCTCCTTGTCGGTCAGATGCATGGCCAGAGCTCTGGCCACCAGCACTCTTCTGCCCTCCGGGGAGAGCTCAGACTGGAGGGTGATGGCAGGAACCCGTGGGGTGGTTTCTCCATCCAATACCACGTCCTCCTCACTGGCTACGAGATCACTCTGGGTTGACCTGGCCTGCAGCATTTCCTCACAGAGGCATTTCCTTCCGTGCTCAGACAGATCAAAAGTCAAACTCTGATGCCGCTTATAAGGCCGCTTCTTCAAAATGGAGAACTCAGCGTTTTGCTTTTGACTAGTTTGGTGGTCGTGAAAACTGTTCATGTTGTCATGTGGAGACAGATCGTAGCAACCGGGAGGGTTACAGGTCAGAAGGTTGCTGTGGGACAAAGAATGTTTGAACAGGAAGTTGGCTGGTTTCTCTATCACAGTGTTTCCTAAATTGTGCCACTGCCCAAGTTTGTCGAGCACGGAGTCACTGAGGCACCTGCTGTTGAACAGAGAACATCTGTGAGGGCTTTCGGCATTCTGCTGCCTCCACAGGGGGTCCAGGTCATTGTCACTGATGAGAGGCTGATCGTTCATCACTTTGGACTGTGGTGCTGGTGGACTAAGAGCACTCAGTGCACATGGCAGGACAGGGATCCCTTTCCCTCTCATTTCATTCCCGAGCTGCTGAAGGGCCTGCTGGGACACCGTCTTCTCCACCTCCGCTGAGAGGTCCGGGATCTCCACCCACTCCTCCTCAGTCACCACTTGCCGGTTGGCCGCAATTTCCAAGAGGAGCCCGCACACCAGCTGGACGATCTTTGGCACGTTCTTCATCTGCCGCGCCTCGTAGCCGTGCAGCAGGTGACGCTGGCGCGTGAGGAACTGGGACAGGGTCACGGCGCCCGCTTTGGGCTCCGCGCAGGAAAACACGCTTCGCAGAGGAACCAGGAACTGGGCAAACTCCCGAACGCACAGCAGTTGCCCTCTGGTCTGGATGGAGTTGGGTCTTTTAGCGCGCACAAACAGGATGGCCTGGTCAGCATTCATGCGGGTTGTGAAGATCAAGTAACAAGCCAACAGCACACCTTAGGAAAAGGAAACATAAAACACAGATTTAAAAGAGTGATCTTTTATATACCGAAAAATTGGGAAACAGTTTTGCTTACAGACCTGTTCTTCCGAGACCAGCATGGCAGTGGACAGCCATTTTTCCCTCCTGAACAGCAAACGACATGACTTTCACCATATCCAGAATTGTAGTCAGAGATGCCACACCATAGTCCTTCCATCCAAAGTTGTAGTAATAGACTGAAAATAAAAAGGTCAGAAAACCAAAGTAAGAGTTGGTCAACATATCCTTCTACTCTTTTCAGGATTTATGGTCTTCAGTCATGTTCAACAACTGACATTCTGCAGTGACTCTCCTTTCTTTTCTTTTTTTTGTAATAGAATGATCCATTCTTGACTGTTTGAGCTCTGCTTGTGGCCCATTAACAGATGAACTGTCACCACAGAACTGAGATGTGTTGTGAAATGAGTGACAGTTTTCCTTGACTAACAAATGGGAATGATAAAGGTTTAATTTTTACATGAATGTGAAGACCTTATGTAAGCAGAGAAATAGCTGTGATTAAAAAAAAAAAACTCCTTGGAAAGCTATAAACAGCAGGAGGACAAGTAAGTATAGGCGGCGGAGGCCTTTACTGAGTATCAGATGAAAGACAAGGCTATTCAAAATACAGATGATGCTTTGAACAGGTGACTTGGCTGAACATCTCAGGAGAGCTTGTTAGGAAGAGGAATTAAGATTACTACCCTCTGAGGACAGAGCGCATGTGGGATCCCACACAAATCACTCATTACTGCAAACTGCATGTCACAGCTGTTGGCAAAACAAAACCAAACACCACTGATGCTAAGGAAGGAAATGTTTATCTTCAATCAATTGTGCAAAAGGTTGGAAAGTGCATGATTATGATCCGGAGTCTGTTGAACACAGCCTGTCAAGCAGAGTGATCTGTTGGAAACTGACACGAGAAGTTGTGTCCACTCTATCACTTTGACTGACTTACAGTTATAAGGAAAAAGATTTACAAAACAAAGCGATCTCCATTTCAATCCACGAACATAAGCACACTTCAATGTGGACCATAAGCTAAACTGAAAATAATAAAAAAAATGAAAAGGGGAGTTTGACACAAATGCATTTATTTATTGTCGATTTACCTAATCATTCTCTTCCTGGTTTAAATTCTATTTAACAGATTTAGCAAGGATCTTATATTTGACTCATAGATTTAAATTATAACTTCTATTAATCTTTTCTTTTCTCTGTTTTGGTTAGGACACGATAAGCAAACAGAAGAAACTTCAGCTTGTGCTTCCTAACTATGTTTACACAGAATCTGAGCTCTTTTGTTACAGCTATCGTCTTTCAAACTGTTGGTGGTTTTATTAACATCATCTATTTTCTAGCGATGAAATTCTCTCTTTGCCTCTGGCTCCAACAGAATTCATGCTCATTGTTTCCAAAAATTAAACTTTGTGTGTGTGTGTGTTTTTTTTTTTTAATGGTCTGTAAGTAGAAGTATGGATTGGGAAACTTACTGCCTGCTTCCATGAAAGTTTCGGGTCTATAGGTGAAACCACTTTCCTGCTCTAGAGGATTGCCACAACTGGCGTGTTCTCCTGGTCGCTGCAGGTTTATGACCGTCTTCAAACCACACCTGTGAACGCAACAGCACAAAACGTACACATCTAACCATAGTGGAACATCACAGGGAAAATAATTTAAAAAACTTCATCGTTTTCAAACTCAATTTAAGTTTTGGTCAAATATTCCAAAAAAGGTCAATGTTTGCTTCAAAATGAGGTGCCGAAGAATAAAATCGTACCTTTGAAACTGCTCAATTATATTGTACTTTTCTATGATTTCAGTAGAAGGCCTTGCCATAGCTAGCAAGTTGTCGGTGATCCTGCAAGGGGAGGAAGTAAAGGGTCAGATGCATTTAACTCAGATTTTTTCATCATTAATATTGGGAATAAATTTATCGAACAAAAGTCTTTACACGTTGTCAATTCTCAGCAGTATTTTTTCATACATCCTTATTCCTCATCACTTAAGTCTGATTTTTCTGGTTATCGAACAGTAAAGTGAGTCAGAAACGGTGAACTGCAGGGCTGTTCTGGTGACATTTATCATTGCAAAACAGCAGTGATTTGTCCAATAACAGATTATTTATTACTGGATGTTTTTGTTGTTGATTAAAAATATGCAGACCAAAGTGAGTGATGTTGTCACATGACTGAAAACGAATACTTTAGAATGGCTTCATATAAAAACAATATGCAGCTTCAGATTGTACTCATTTAAACTGAATGGTTTCATTTTCAAAATAATAAAGTAAGAGTTGTTACAGCATCATGTCCCACTTTAGAGGCTAAAACAAAACTGTAAATACATTCAAGCTCAGGGACTCGAGCTGTAAATGACACCCAGTTCACCGCAGGACTTGTCAACATACCAGGAAGAATAGAGTCCCTTAATCCCTTGCTCCTCATCACTCCAGCGAGCAGGGTTCTCATATTTACAGGCCCTCCCTCCACAGGCCATGGAGCACTGCATGTGACTGGGGATGACATGCCTCAGAGTCTCCCCCATCTTGGTGTACTTTGCCGTCGGGACTCTTGAATTTGCTAGTAGGAAAAAAAAGAAATACGACGTTATCTATATGACAACTTTCCAATTTGTTGACTTCAAATCTTCCTCTTCATCTAAAGTTGGATTAAACTGCAAAAGAGAAGACACTCGTTATTCCTCTAGCGCGATTACATCTCCTGCTCTTGTGCTCGGCGGAAGGCTGAGGCTGGTTCATGATGACGGCCACCATCAGTGTGTGGGAGGAGGAGGAGAGGATCTCCAGGGCAGAGCTGCGTCTGCGCTGCAGCACCTTCAGCAGGACGTCTGACGCCGAGTGCCTCCGGCCGCCGGACATCTCCCCGGCTAAGCGGTGGCGTCCCCGGTACGGCTGCATCTTCCAGTGCCCGGACCGCGGGAGTCTCTGAACTAACAAAGGCTGCTCGCTCAATGACTCTGCGTGCACGGTGAATCATCATTCAACATTAACCCACTGCTGATCAGGTCAGAGGCAGCTTTTGAAGTGTCGCCATGACAACCATCCACACAGCAGACTGTGGCACATTAAAGACAGATATGCACAACACAGATCTAAGGTGAGTGATGATGTTTTGGTGCAAGCCCAAACACACACCATCATCAACTGGTGGCAAACCATACTGTTTCAGGCGGGGGGGGGGGGTTACCATAAAGTGGCTTGCACTAGATAAAATGCTACAACACCCTTGTTATTATTTATATTTTTAATACCAAAATATGTCTCTGTGCAGCAATGATGGGGCAAAGCATCTTTGCCATTTGCAGTTGCCATGGCGATTTAATCAGTAAGCATTTTTAAAACAGCTGCAAGCAGAAGAATTATAATACAAACCCCAAAAAATTATCCGATTAGTCATGACATGGAAAAAAAAAATAATTCTACTACTATGAATCTGCTTCTATATTTTTTTAAAAACGCTTTTCAATTGGAACGATTGTAAAGTCTTTTCATAAGAAGTAAACCTTTTCGTGTAACAGTGTCACAATGATTCCTAGTTTAAGTCACAAACCCAATAGAAGCTTTTCATTCATCAGGACACAAAAACAGGAAAATTACATAAACAAAGTTGAACCAAGTACATCATGGACTGGTTTTAATAGTGTACATTTGTAGTCACCGCCAGAGTAAAAACGCCAATAAAAAATTAACCAATAATCAAAAGAACTACAACCACCTAAATTCCAACTTGTATGTGTTTGGTTAAGCTGAGGCCACTCTACAATTCAGTCGTCAGTCTGCCAACAAAATGAAATCGGAAGGTCAAACAAAAGCATGGGTTCAGTGTGCCTCAGTGTGTGGGATCAGCATGCAGACTGAATAGCTGCAGAGATGAGGGGGCTGCAGCAGGAAAGAGCTATGACCAAAAAACCACCTACAACGTGGTGCACAACAGTCCCTGTGCCTCTCACTGCTCCGTTAAAGCTAACAGCCAGCTAGCACCGAACTGACTCCACATGCGGTCTCATACAAGGCATTAGAGTTCCCATGACATTTTATAATGATTAAAGAGGATCATTTGAATATTCAGATTTACCATTTAAAGAAGAAAAACACTCTAACATTTAAAAACAAAAGGATTAACTACCGTGTGGCTGGGATAAATGATAGTTTTTTATTTCAATGTATGAAATTAGATGATTTTATAAAATTGTCTAAATACAAAAATAAATAGATATCAAATGTACTTTTTATTGCAATCACATGCAATTCTATAGGATAATGCAAATTCTGGAACAAGAAAAAAAATAAAATAAATCTCCTTAAAATATACTCACTGTTTATTCTGTTTGCTTACATCATTTAAGTCAATTTGATACCAATAATTATCACAATCCTTATATATTGGATTTCAATCCTTGGGTTTTTCACACGACTATGAAGAATCCTTATATTCAATTGGAGCAGGGGCTTATAGGGCTCCAGATTGCTTTATCAAAACTGAGGTTTACCATTTCCATTTCCTTAATTTAACACGTTGTATGCAGTCTCAATGTTTCAGGTACTTCAAGACCACAGCATTTTAATAGCAATAAATTAACTTTGTTTACACCTGCTGAGAATGAAACTGGTCAGCAAAGTGCTGCCACACAAGCCAAGAATAACAAAATCAAGAAAAAAAACACAAAACTGAATTTCTGATTTCACATCACATATAAAGTAAATTAAGTATAGAATTTTAAAAAAAAAACAATATCAAATAGCAATAAGTCTCATACCTATGGCCATCTCCCCGCTGATCTCTCCTCTCTGGGAACTAACGGAGTAGGGCAGGTCACTCACAATGCTGACACCAGCTGCCATGGCCGGGACTGAAAGGTGAGAGTAAACACTGTCAGGCAGGTAAGAAAAAAAAAGAAAAAAAACAGGAGCACACAGACACCTCGCTTGTGTCAATTACACAAACAGCAAAAGGCCGTGCACGAAGATGCGAGCCGAGGAGTGTGCGGGGCGTTGCTTGGCAGGAAGACTCGGGGGAGAGAGGAGAAGGTGCAAACGGAGCTGCCATGTCAGCCGCTCACCTGTCCGACTGACTGCAGCACCTCTGGGGGCACGTAGGTGTGGCCTGGGGACAGGAGCAGGATCCAGAAGCACATCCCAGTTCTGAGATGCTGAGTTACACATCACCCCAACGGAAAAAACACCAATGCCCAACGGTAAAATGTAGTGCTCTAATCCCTTTTGGTTGGAGCATAACATCAATTTGCTCTGATTTCCAGCCACAGAGATCAGGTGGAGTGATCCTGTTTTACTGCAACACGTATCAATAATTCAGGTGCCTGCATAGACCTGCTGCTGGGCAGTTTCAGGGCTCTATGACCTGAATCACATATTTGATCACATAGCTGGATATCACAGCTGTGCCACACAAATCTCCCCCCAGTGTCACTTAATGTTTTTCACCTTCCCCCTGTTGCTGACAGCCTCTGCACAGAGAAACTCTGCACCCTCAAAGCTCCCAGCCCCAATGCAGTCCATTAACAATTAAGCAGGGTCTAGAACTCTACATGCTAACTTTTTGATAAGCAAACGATCCTTGGCCTTTGCTTTTATCTTGCTACTTTGACGCAGTCACTGAAGGAGGGCCAAACCAGATAAAACGGCACACATGTGCTATAAAAGATATGGTTTATTAGATAATATGGGCATAATGCTTTATGAAAAGCATACATTTTAGCCCCAGGTTCATACTACAAACTGCACAATGATGAGAGCATGACCGCCAACTGGTTACAGCCGAAAGTCTGAAATTGAAATGTTTCACGCACACAGTTTTTATCCCAGGAACAAAGGCCTTTTGCAGACAGTTTCAGGTTCACAGACAAGATCAGTGTCACACCGTCACTACCTAATTAAATCTGAACCAGCGGACAGGTTAGGTTAGGCCAGGTGAGAGACCATCTTGACAGTTGCCACACAGCCATCTGAGCTACATGTCTACAGTTGTATGTTGTGTGGAGATCTTAGGTCTGTTTAACTTTAAGTGTCACAGATCCTAGTTGTATGAAGACCTGATTGGATAATAATAAAAATATTGAGTTCAAGTCTCACTGTGGACAATGAAAAGGTTTCTGAGGTGTGTTAGTTAAATGGAAGGCACATCAGTTAGCAGAGCAGGTTAATATTTTGGCAGACTTGTTAAATTTGACTATTTTCATAAATGTAAGACAAGTACAGCAGATCTGTGTGTTCTATGGCACAAACTGCCACACAAACTGATTTTGGACATGTAAAAATATACTTTTAACAGTCCATGTTTAGGGATTGGGCAACCAGAACCATACAAAGAACCCAGGACAATCTGAAGGGATCTGCTGGCATGAAACAGAAGCCCAATTCACAAACACCCCAGTTTTTCATCAACTTCATTTTCTGGATTTTCATGGAAGGCCTTAAATTAAAGTTATATAATGAAGCATGAAGACAACAAGCCCAAAAATATCATACAATGTCATGACCATGATCTATTACATCCTAGTAGCTGGTACCAGTTACAATTTAGCACCAATTTAAAGGTTCAAAGCAAACTGAGATGAGCGGACAACAGACGGCCATGAAGGCACATCCATGGAGAATATCCCGGATTTTAAAAACCAGTCAGCAAACCATGTGTGATTTCTTTATTTCTGTGATCATCAGTGGGGTAAATGGCTACAGTGAAAATGTTGTCCCTTTTTCACTTATACAGAAGAAAGATCAACAGATAATGCTGCTCTTAAATTTTCCTAATTTCCCCCTGAAACAATCTGGTTCCATTAAAATGAAGGTGTGTTTATTTGAGCTGATCTGAGTTTTTTTTGTAAATTAATCCACAATCTCACGACAAAGAACACTGATGAGTATTTTACATTTAAAGAACAACAAACTAATCCCAAGGTACTGTTTCTATGCAGGCAAAAATATAAGGCAGAAATGAATAGTTTGAAGTCAATATCAGTTCAATGCACTTGATGGGAAGGTGTGCTGGTCATCTTTTGTTGTTGTCATACATCCACAGGTCACCTTTTTTATTTCCTTTTTTTTGTGAGAAACTGTCGCCAAGAGGCATCCTTTGTAACTTGAGAGACAGGTCCCACTTGGAACACTACTTCTGATTAGAGTCAGTTTCTGTAATCTAAGAATAATTGATAATGTAACGATACAAGTTTTTTAATCCTTTCACAAACTTACAATGGCAACAAAAGCAGCAATAACACTGGTCAGAGTTTTTCCAGCATTACAGGGAGAAACGGATTCCATCATTTCAATCGTCAGTCTAACTGGGGCCTTATACCACCTCATATTGTTTAACAGGAAGCTCTTGATAGCAAACTAATGAATGAGAAGCTGTCGTTTAAGAAAAAATATGACGCCATGTGCAACAGATATTCAGTCACATTTAATCTCTTCACTCAACTGTTAATTAAGGGCATATTAAACTCTTGGCTTCACACATTTGTGGCAAATCCACACTCATGTACACCGGGAGGCCAACGTGTTGGTGGACATGGAAGAGATGGTGTGAAAGCTGAGAGTTGCCTGTTAAGTTGTTAATGAGTGTGGGATGTTAGAGTCATTTCCACTGAGTGCTAATAAAGAAATATGGCCCACGAGATGGTGTTTCTCACACCATGTTTAATTCATGGTAATGTCCCCGAAGGAATCCTGATAGGACAACAAGCAAGTCAGCCGAACACACAGCACGCTTTATAACAGAAACCCCATCTCTATGGGGAGCTGCAAACTATAACCAACACGTAAGCAGGTTTTCAGCCACTCAGAAAACACAGAAACAAAAAATCCAGAGGAACTCCTGTTGGAGGATTAGTTTACTAGTCAATGGTCAGTGAGAACATCAAAACAGTTTGGAGAAAGCATAATTTAAGTAGATTAAAAACATCACTTTAAACCTGCAACCTAAATCATATTTCCTTTGTCCAGTCTACACAACTGTGAAAAAACACAAATATCACTGAGTTGTCACATAATAGTGACCAAAGTGCATTTAAAAAAATTTGTAAAATAAATCCACATTATTCAGTATGGAACACGCTAAAATCAGAGTGTAGTACGAAGTGATGTCATTTCTCTACAATAATATATCCTTTAACCATTTTTCTTATATCGGTCAATAATAAAAATAGTAAATAATAAATCACACATTCAATGCTATAAGCCTGCTTATTTACATGAACATAAGAAAATACTATATGTAAATTAAGATAGTATTTAAACATTGCTGGTGGTGTCCTTCCTTCTAGGTAAAGAAAGGGATGATGCTCAGAGAGAATAATCATAATAAATACTTTTTTTCTCATCAGTCTATTTCCAGCGTGTTGGGATCATTCCCTTATCTTAGATAGCTTCATTCTACATGGTTCCTTTTCCTCTTTACCACATCCCTCTGATAATAAAACCGAGGATAGGACCTTGAGTACCAGAGATGAAACCCTACCCGGATATTAGCATATGTACAACTAACACTGCTGAGTGTGTGTCCCAGTGTGCTGTTAACATGTTTCATCTGATAAAATCACTGCTTTTACAGCCAGTAAACAGCCGTTATGTTCTAACTCAACTTACCCTCACAACTGTTGCCTTTTTAGTAACCATATCATGTCTAAATGTTAGACACACAGTTCACCAACAGAAACATATAAAGCTTAATATTAGCATTTTAACGACAGCCATAATGGCGGTAAAGGAAGGTTAGCTCAGTGTTTGTCCTGGTGCTGATGCTGCACTTAGCGCTAGCTCATTAGCTTATTCTATACATTAGCTGGAGCTAGCTAGTGTCCACAGAAAGCCTTATTTACCCGTTTCCTGTCGTCTGAGCGCGGGGAAGTCGCTACGGTATCTGCCGTAGTCTCGTCATCTCTCCAAAGCCATCGCTGTGCTATCACAATAGCCGCTATCTTCTTCTAGCGACATCGTTTGGTCCACTAAATACAGCTAGCGGGCTAGCTTTGTTAGCAACTTGACATCTTGTGTATAACGGTCCGAAAGCCCCACGTGACCTAAGTCAGTTGTTTACTCCTACTGTTGTGAGCCCACTCACAAAATTCAGATAGCTGGGAAGAAAGAGCACGATTTAGATGTTTTCCTTATGTGTTTTTCTTATGTATGTATGCCGATTTAAATATATTTTTCATGGCTATCATTGATTGATTCATTTAAATACTTTTCTATCTTTAGGCTTTAACGTAAGGATGCTAATATGACTCATGCACTTAACTTAAAGGAATTTGTTTAAGGCTCTCCAAACTGCATTGCCACAGGCTAAAGCTTTACAAACTATACAGGGACAAATCTTTGGAAAAAGTGAAGTAGTGTGTATCAAAGTGGACCCTCTGTTTTCTGCAGTCCTCTGGTGCAGCCTAGAGGTTGTTTCTTTGAATGTATGCTCTTGTGGTGCATGATAATGGGATAAAAAAAATTGACCAGAGGACTGAATAAACCAATCATTTTCGGATAAGCAAGATCCTATATTTTCAACAAAACGCAAAACTTATTTCTGGTAACAAGTTGAACAGATTAGCTCCTCTTTTGGCTATAGACAATGAATCCAAAATTAAAAAATTAAAAAAACTTCAACTGACCAAAGAATGGTGTTTTTCATTTTGGGATGGCAGAGGGAACAATGTTCACAAGAAAAGTCTAGAATTGTGGTTTTGGGGGGATTTCTATGACAGAATCGTGCCATTGTACACTATTCAGTGCAATTCTGCCTGAGGGGTACAAAAATATTTGCAATGTATTAGTACCCCTTTATTCTGATATGTGAACACGTTTTTTTATATCTTACTAAATCCTAACAGATGTCATCTCAAGAAATTACAAAAAGGCATTAAGAAACTGATTTGTTGTGATGCAATCATAAGTCAATCAATTTACGAAATCTCAAACTGGTCGAAGTCATACAGAGCAAAATAATAAAAAGCTGCTTGGCAAATTAAACCAGCAGGCTGCCCTAAAGTAACACCTTTATCCAATAACCCATTCCTAAACATCCACATGGGGGCTATGAAAGAAAAGAACCATTCTAAACACCTCTGGCAGGACCTGATTCAAGAAGCTGCGGTTTGAGAGGACAGAAAATGGGACACCAAATATCACATTATTCAGCCCAGTAACTCCTGCTGAAAAAGGCAAAATTATACACAAATGAATGACAAAGATAATGTGGATCCAGAAGAATCTTGGCATATGAGGTGTTTCAGGATATTGAGTTTTGACTCAGGAGAGCTCTGTAAATAATCTCTGTCAAAACGGTTTTAAGCTCTCTTGAGGGAGAGAATGCTTTCTGTGCTCAAACTAAGTGAGGACTCCCATTTTAATCTAGACCGGCAGTCTGAGGGCAAAGTGCTCTGGAGGATGGATGGATGGATGGATGGATGGATGGATGGATGGATGGATGGA